GAAGGTGTCCATGAAGCTTTCGTTTTGGCCGTTTGACAGTGGTGGTGGTAAGGCGGCGCACGGACGCACCTTATGCCAGATCGATCACGCAGCGCACAGAAAACAAGTGATGTGAATTGACCGCCATTTTCACTTAACAACATCCCCAAGCCTGTTGAACAGGTTATGTAGGATATTGATGGTGGCTCCGGGGTTTGTACGTTCCATTTTGGAATATATCCGGCCATGTTATGTAAGTGTCAACCACAACGAGGAAATGGTGCCCGTTGAGTGGTCCCGCAAAATCAACTTGAACCCGTGACCATGTGTCTGTCGATGATAAAACTGCGGTAGAGTTCCGGACACATATGTTGGCCAATGTATGCGGCCATCGTGCAAAATGCTATCCTGTCTGGTTGCCCGTTGTACTTCAATAAAAGCGATAAGCAGTGCCCGTATTGTATCCACCGACACAGACATGATGACCGTGTCTTCTACCTGTTGACGTTGAGGGTCAATGAGGCACGAAAGAGCATCTGAATGACGCCAAGTAGTGGTCACTGAATGTCCAAAAGCTGCATGAAGACGATACCAGAAGACCCTCCATAGCATGCTGGAAGTGTGGGCAATGGAATTAAACACACTACTATCCCTTTAAGAACAGCAAACACAGCAAACAAGAACATACATAGTCTACTGCTCCTACGACAAAGAGGCGTCAGAAGCCAAGACGATTCAGACCACTGTCAATCAAGTCAGAGCCCAAATGACAAGCGATCGTGTCCAGCTATCGAACTGGGATAGGAGAAAAAGCACAAATATCTCCATGTCCTCGTCAATGATAACCCAGTATGCCTGCAGATAGACACCACTCCTAACATCACCCTGACCCCAAAACGAACTTGGCACGTGCTCGGACGACCCCCACTTAAAGAATGCACTGAGCGTATCCGGCATATTACTAGGTCTCATTGGTGAGCTGGAGTGTGACATTTTGTTTAATGGCATGCAGATTAAAAGGACCGTTACTTTGAGAACACGCCAGATTGAATTTGATGAGTCTCGACTGAACTGAAAAGCCCAACCTCCTGGATGTGACTCTGAATGGTGTCTGTCAAGATGTGTCGATACACACGAAACATGCGTCATCTACCAAACAGTTGTCTGCAAGCCTGACTACAAACCTCAATAAGAAGTTTGCATTGATCTTCCAAGCTGATTTGAGGTACTGCACTAAGACCCAAGCTCATTGGTACCTCCGTCCGGATTCAGAGGCTGTTTTCCGACCCAAGCACCCAGTGACATATGCATCATTGCCAGCGGTCGACCAAGAACTCGACCCACTCCAACTGGCAGATATCATCAGACTAGTCAACCGCTATTACTGGACTGCACCCATTTTCGTGGTCGAATACATCCAAGGTACCAGTTTGTAGTGGTTGTAGTAGTAATGGTAGTAGTAGTACGCACGGAACTCGGAATGCAAGCCACGCAATATGAATCACAGAATCCGAGTCAACAATCAGCTATCACGGATTG